TAAAAATCTTGGAAAATATACTTCTTATTATTTTTTAGACACTCTGATGCCTTTTATTTGTTCCAAACAAATGGAAACTTTAGATAGTGCCCCAAATTGTATCTCTCAAAGACTTTAAAGAGTAGCTCAATTACTGTGGAAGTTCAACCCCAAACAAAGGGAGGTCACACCAGAGAAAATTAACAACCTTAAAGTAGTTTATGAAACTATGTAAACAAGCATAAAAAAATGAATATACTAAACACATGTCTAACTCTCCCTATTAAGTCTGCCTCTACCTAGCTAAGTTAACCTTTTGAACCTTTGGCAGGTTATTTAATGTTGTTTTCCATCTGTAAACAGGACTATTTCTGGCAAATGCCTCCACATGCAGGTAGGAGAAAAGAGGACTGACATTCTTGGCATAGTAGCCAGTACTAAGGCACCATGTAAAGGTTTATAGGTCAATAGAGCTTGTACTGAATAAGACTATGTTATCATAAAGTAAGTCTCTATGCCCTTTTCTTTCTTTTGCTTGATCATAAGAGAAGAGAAACCACGATTCAGTACCCATCTCCTTATCATTTTTATAAATTAGGGAATAGGTGCAACTATTTTTTTAATATATTTTATTGATTTTTTACAGAGAGGAAGGGAGAGGGATAGAGAGTCAGAAACATCAATGAGAGAGAAACATCAATAAGCTGCCTCCTGCACACTCCCCACTGGGGATGTGCCCGCAACCAAGGTACATGTCCTTGACTGGAATCGAACCTGGGACCTTTCAGTTCGCAGGCCGACACTCTATCCACTGAGCCAAACCAGTTAGGGCACAACATTTTTTTCACAGATAAAAGTAGGGTAATTGTGTAAAGTACTCTTGAGAGTTGTGTGTGTGTGTGTGTGTGTGTGTGTGTTTAATCTTGCAACTCCTGCTTGACAGATTTCAATAATTCAGAAAAGCTTGGAGCAAAAACCATGTAGGACACCTGGACTTTCTCATTTTCTTTATCACAAATCAGGGATCATTCCTTTTTGAAATAACCATTATTGATATTATCCTGAAAGATGGCACGTTATAAGAGAGAGGGGTACTCAAGGCCCATAGCTATCTTTTAATGGTAGTAGTTTCCGATTACATAGTATTTAAGATGTGATTTAGAAGGTCACAAATAATAGAAAACTATACACTAACAAAAAGAGTGTGATGGCTCTATTGGCTCCCAGGGACAAAAAGTCCAAAGGTAGTAGTGCTTGCTACAGCCTAAAGGTCACAAGAAGATGCCAGCAGCTCCTGGGCTCCCAGCTTGATTGTTTCTGTGGGGCAGAGAAGGGACAGCATCTCCATCCCACCATTCCTAGCGGGAGCCCTGAGAACAACTCAGATGTGGACTGGGGTCAGCCACATGCCAAGTGCAGATCCAAGTGCTCTGACCAAATGGATAAACCACTTCCTAACTTTACCCATCACTAGAGCCAAAATTAAAGTGCTTCTGCAGAACTGGTTGAGGAAATGAAGGCAAACAAGAAAAACCCACAGGTGACTTTAAAAGTGCTGTCTTTGCCCAGCCAATGTTGCTCAGTGATTGAGCATCAACCCATGAACCAGGAGAGCACGGTTTGATTCCCAGTCAGGACAACATGCACGGTTGGGGTTATAGACTCAATGCCCTGTGGGGGGTGTGTAGGAGGCAGCCAGTCAATTATTCTCTCTCATAATTGATGTTCCTATCTCTCTCCCTCTCCCTTCCTCTCTGAAATCATATATATATATATATATATATACACACACACACACACTAGGGGCCCAGCGCATGAATTCGTGCACCTTGAAAAGAACTGTGGGCCACAAGGCTGTGGTGGGCACAGGGGCGGGTCTTAGCCCATCCTCTCTACCCACTCCTGGCCCCTCCTGATGCAGCCCCTGGTCACTTGTCTGCCAGCAGCCCATCTGCCGCCGCCACTCCTATGCACTGACAGCACTGGCCCTGCTCACTCCCACTGCCAACGTGGAGTGATTGGGGCCGGTGTCAGCAGCGGGTACGAATGGTGGCTGCGGCCCCCATTGCCCCTCAGGAGCAGGGGGTGTTGGAGAAGCCCATAGGGACGATTGCGGCTGGCAGCTACCACTTGCACCTGCTAATAGCGTTAAGCAATCAGGACTGGCGGCGGGTGCCAGCAGCAGGTGCAAGCGTTGTGCTGGACTGTGGCATGTGGGAGCAAAGAATTTTCAGTAACCACCAGAGGCTCGCCCTGATGACAGTGACTGGCGCTGCCGCCTGGTGCTGATGCTTGCCATGTTCCACATGCGCCCCCTGGTGGTCAGTGCAAGTCATAGTGATTGATTGTTGGGTTGTTCCACTGTTTGGTCTATTTGCATATTAGCCTTTTATTATATAGGAGATATGTTTAAAGTGCTGTCTTTAAATCATTCCTCACCACTGGGGTCTGCTGTGGTTGGTGACAGGGTCAGTACTGATGCTGATTCTTGTAGGCCAGTGGTTCTCAAAGTGTGATCCCAGGACCAGCAATGTGTTAGAAATGTAAATTCTTTATACCTTTTGCCAAACTTCCAGTTATAAATTAAATAAGCATGGGGATGTAATGTATAGCATGACAACTATGGTTATTGTATATTTGAAAAAAATCCATTCATAAGAAAATTAAAAATATAAAACCCTGCTAGGTAAAATTTTTAAAAAAGTAAATTTTTGGACTCGACCCCAGTCCTAATGAATCAGAAATTCTGGATTATTAAAGAAACGTCCTCTTAGGCCAGTTCAGCTGCTGCCTTGTAAGAAGTGGGGAGGAGGTGAGGGGGACAGCTGGGAACCGAACGCTTGGCAGCCCCTGGCCTAGTCAGAGGGAGGCAACCTTGCGTGCTAAGATCCTAAGGGCCCTTCAGCGTCCAAGTGACTTCTCTTCCATGTGCTCCCCTCGCCTTTCTGGGGTACTTGTTCCAGGCCTTTCCCCCCTCCTTTGCAGCCACTTCCCAGGGGCTGCGATGAGCGACAGTACTCAGGACTTAAGCAGGTAGGAAAGTCTAGAAGACATTTCAGGATGGCACAAAGGCCCGAGTTGTTGAGGATGGTGTAGCCTCGGGCATGTGTTTGGACCTGTTGTTTGGAGTTGCCAAAGGAGCCCTGGTTCTCTTCCTGTGGCCGCAGGCCCGCAGCCTCTGTCTGTACAGCTAGGGCCCTCCACCCGCACCCCCCTGAGCCCATGTTCCAGAACCTGGGAGCTCTTAGGGCAGGGCTGGCCTCTCCTTGGACCAATAGGGTTTCTCTGCCAGACTGAGGTCAGGGGGTGGAGCCAGGGAAGCTGAGGATGCTCGGCCAGGGCTCAGAGGACAGGTGGGTGGCTAAGACCTGGACACCGAGACTTACCCAGGATTCTAGGGTTTCCTCCTGGTGGTGAATTCTGGATGGATCTGACGCTTGGTTGCTGGCAGCTCCTGGGCAGGAGAAATGCTGCCATCAGATTTGGGTTTGGAAGGCTGAATTTACATCTGTTAAAGAGGAGGCGTTTCTTCCCGTTGAAACTCACAGCTGTGATCTTTTTTAAAATATATATTTTTATTGATTTCAGAGAGGAAGGGAGGAGAGGGAGAGAGAGATAGAAACATCAAAGATGAGAATCATTGATCAGCTGCCTCTTGCATGCCCCCTACTGGGGATAGAGCCCTCAACCCGGGCATGTGCCCTGAGAGGAATCTAATTCTGACCTCTTGGTTAATGGGTAGAGGGGCCAGCCGGGCCTCACAGCTGTTAATTTGCGGTGCTTCTATTTTGTGCACTTCTAATCTATTATTTAAGTGATCTTTCCGTGTAATTGGCCTGTGGTGAAAACTCCAGCCAATGACGGCAAGTAAGAGGCTCCTGACCCGGTCCTGAGAGCCACTGAGTGTGGTAGTTTGTTACAGCAGCGATAGGAAACCAATAGGCTCAATGACAAAAGTGACATGAACAAGGGAAAGGGATTCTACAGCTCTGAGGTAAGTGCTTGAGCTCATCTCAGGCACTTTGTCAAATTGATGCCATTGTAATTAACTAGTTATTAATACAGCAAAGAGCAAAGGGAAGGCCAAATATTACAGGCATGTCATTTTGGCAGCTTTGCCAGGAAGTTGAAGCTTTACACTCCCCAGGGGTTTGACAGAGGGGAGATAGACAAATGCATGCCCAGTAAAGTTGGGGGAACTAGCAAAGGTACTTGTCTGTCAGTCACAGCTGGGGGCAGAGGTCATTGGCCAGAATGGGTATGGCCTCACCTCCAGCACTTAGTGAGGAGTTACCCCAACTTTCCCGATAACAAAACTGACAAAGTTGATCTGAAATTGTACCTCAACCCCTAGATATACCCTCAACTTTAAGAGGTAGATGCTATAATCTCCATTCCACAGATATAAAAATTGAGACAACAGGATGTTGTTTGAGAACACAGAGCCAACCAGTGACATAGCTGCCATTTGAATTCAGGCAGTCTGACTTCCGGCTCCATGCTCATAACCACTGCCCACATGCACATTATCACTTGATTTCTATATACAGGCTACAATTGGCCCGCATTCTAAAGACAGTCCTCATATCTTGTTAACAGATCTTTTTCATGGGAAGGGTGTTAGGCATGTGTTTGTATTTTGAAGCATACAGTGTTATTAGTTGTTGTTTTTGTTGTTGTTGTTTTGTTTGTTTTTCAGTGTAAGAATTGCACGCCCTTGCAGGGAAAAGCCAGTACCACTTCTAGCATGCATCTTGCTGTTTGTGGGTGTCTGTTCTGATACAATTTCCAATTCCAAGATTGATTTAAGTCACAGTTTTCAATTAGATAATGGGAATGTTATCTCTACGGAGTGGATTATGTTCACAAAGAGGAAATAACCAAGAACACAGAGATAATGTTGCTAAATAAATGGTTCAAAATCCAGTGGGTTGTAACCCTTGCTTCCATCATATAAGGGAGAATTGTATTTGGCTTTTTTAGAAATGTCACATCAAATTGTATTTTTTATTTCTTTTTAGGATTTCATCAGGGGTCTTTCCATTTTGCTCCGGGGGACAGTACAAGAAAAACTCAACTGGGCATTTAATTTGTATGACATAAACAAAGATGGCTACATCACTAAAGAAGTAAGAAATACCTCACCAACAGCTATCCTTTGGGATATTTTCATTTTTAACTTCAAAATGTTAATTACACATTTGCAATTTTTAATTTGAAAATAGCCCTTTCAGAAAATCTAAAATAGTTCATGTAGTGGTAGAGAAATATTCTAATAGAAAATCTGGAATGGAAAGGAATAGTTTATGGTGAATCTGCAAGGCAGATTTAAAACATGTTAAGAATTATACACTTATTTCCCAATGGCATCTTAATAAACATTATGAATGAAATATAGACTGGTTGGAATCAGATAGGAAGACAATGCTTCCAAACCATGTTAGAACATTTGGTCTCCCACCCGTCTCCCTCACCCCCACCCCCCACCCCCCGCCCCAACCCCCATATAATGTGGTCCACATGGAAACAGGTGCAATTTAAAGTCACATAGGTTGTGTGTGTGATGACCTGGATGACCTTTATGGTGTGGGAAATGACCTCATGGAATGGTGGGACCTCCCAAATCCTTCAGGCCCACAGACCAAATAAGATATTCAAATCAAATGGTTTGAATTTAAAAATAATTTAAAGCACACTGAGAAGCAAGGGGAAAGGGTATGGTAAGTTAACTAATTTAGGATAAGGTGCAAGTAAGGTGGAAGGATCACATTACCTAAATCCTGGGATGGCTCAATATTCTATGTCCTGTCTTTTTCTCTGGCTCACTGGCTTTTCCCCAGAGGTGAGATTTGAGCAAGAGGCCCCTCAAATGAAAGGTATCCTGGGTCAGTGACATGAACTTGCTCTACCAGAGACAAAGGGACAAGTGCATCTGACTTCACTTACAGCAACTAAATTAGCCTGGCCAATGGCCATAGTTTTTGTGTTTCTTGAGCAGAGGACTTGTGGAACCAGGATGTTTCTCATCGATGGGTGGCTGCATTAAGAACTCATGAATATTAATTTTCTGTGTATACGAAGCATATCCTGGATAGTTAGTGCCTCTTGTATATTTGGTCTCCAATAAGCATTTAGTACTCAGATGCCTCAGAAATATTAGGTACCTCTTGGTCCTCCAAGCCCTTTCTATCCCTTTCTTTGTTTAACACAAACATGAGTTCTTGGTCCTTATATGTGACACAGCTCATGAATTCTGCCTGTGGCAAGCAAACTTCTTACTACTTCTCTAAACTCAGAACACCTTTAAAAGTTTCACCCACGATTTATAAACTACAGACTATTTATCATTTATTATAGAATTGAATACTCTCAAAAGTAAATGTTATATCAACCTAATCCAGATCCTTTTATGTGGAGAATTCAGTATGCAGGAAACAAACATTAAACAATAAACCTGAATGTCTAGATAATTAGATATTATTTTCACTAAGATTGAAAATAAGTTGAAAACTAGCTTTTAATAAAATGGTGATGAAATTTTAAGGTGCATCCCAGAGTCATAATATTTTGATTAATTTACATGTGTGATTTCCTGAGTTAAAGCGATAGTAGAGGGAAAACACACACACACACACACACACACACACACACACACACAAAACAATGAAAACCCTAATGAGCTTTGATTTTTTTAGTATAATTCTCGTGATGCAGTTACATTTTATTCTCAATGAACACATTGATAATAAACATGTAAGATCTATAATAACTCAATACAATGAAGGTAGTGTGTGTGAAGTCTACAGAGACCCAAACACTAAGCCAGGGTTTTGCTGATCATGTTCAATATGTCAGAATTTACTTCATTTTGAAACGAAGGTCAGAAATAATTCTCATGCTGCTGCTTTTAAAGCACCAAGCTGTTGCCTTTTTCTCACAACTGAAAGGCATTTAATGAAGAATCACAGAAGAATCAGAAATTTGAAATTGAGTAGAAATTCCCTGTTAGACTTTCTGGGTGGTTTCCTCGCACTTTGCTTGCAGCCTCACGAGCGTGCCCTTGGCTTTTCAGGAGATGCTTGATATCATGAAAGCAATATACGACATGATGGGTAAATGCACATATCCAGTCCTCAAAGAAGACGCTCCCAGACAACACGTGGAGACATTTTTCCAGGTAGGAACGCACATGGAAGCCAGAGAGAAACAGAAATTAAGAGAACGTTTTCTGTTTTCAAAGTGTCATGATGATTCAAAAGAATGTAAAGTAAAAGAGCGTTTCCTGAAAGGGATAAAATGATAGAATATTCACCATCCTAACAATTGAATAATTTTGGTTTTGAATAATTATAATACTGATAACTACCGAACATTCACAATACCCTAGATAGAATACTAAGCAATTGCCACATTTCACGTGTTGTTGTTTTTTAATTCGGTTCTCATGAGAAACCTATGTTATAAATCCTTATTAGCCCCATTTTACAGGTGAGAAGACTAAGACTTAGAACATTTCAGCAAATCGCCTGAGCTCTGGTATGGCTGGAAGGCAGGGTTTTACCTAGGTCAGGGACTAGATCTTCCCCACATTCTGTTGACAAAGAAGAGCCTAAATTCGAAGAAGTCAGCCAGATGACTCCTATGGCTAGGAAATTACTAGTTTGTTCTGAGGCAGTTCCTCCCAATAAACAAACAGTGGGTTTTGTTTTTTAAAAAATATATTTTTATTGATTTCAGAGAGAAAGGGAGGAGAGAGGGAAACATCAATGATGAGAGAGAATCATTGACCGGCTGCCTCCTCCACGCCTCCTACTGGGGATCAAGCCCACAACCCAGGCATGTGCCCTTGACCAGAACTGAACCTGGGACCCTTCAGTTCATAGACGAACTCTCTATCTACTGAGCCAAACCAGCTAGGGCTTGTTTTTGTTGTTGTTGTTGATCATCTTCAGCTCATTTGGTTAAGGTGTGAGGGTATCATGGGGAAAGTCTGAATAAAGGTTTTTGTTCGTTTCTTCCTGAACAGAAAATGGACAAAAATAAAGATGGAGTTGTTACTATAGATGAGTTCATCGAAAGTTGCCAAAAAGTAAGTAACGGTAGTAAAGGAACCATCCATTTTTGCTTTTGTAACAGCTGGACTGAGTATTGCCAACTAGCCACATAAAGTGAGCAAAATATAAAGATCGTAGGCCTCAGTTTACGACTTTTACAGCTGAGGTCAGCCCACGCCCTGAAACAATCACCAGTTTCTACGTTGAATTGATCGGCATTTGTAGAGCGCCCAAAGCTGTGTAGGTAAGCCCTGGAGATGTGAAAGTCGCACATAGGCTGAGTTTTGTTCCCTAAACACTTTAGAGAGTATTCATCATTGAGAATAAAGCATATGGCAGATTTACATTGGTCTCTGCCTAGAGTCTAGCTAGCCTATAGCATGTATATTGTCAATCATATTTCCACAGCTTTAGAATTCCAGGACAGCTAAGTATTCTACACAGGCCAGGCTTACAGCCAATTTCTAAGAGAAACATTATTGTGTTAATATATGTGGACAAGAATGGCTTTGGGCTGAAGCAGTAATAGTCTTCAGTCACAAAAAATAAAGAGCTGTAAATTCAGAGGGAAAACCAGGCTGGCTGGCAGCCATCTGGCGGGAGGCCAGTTTCAGCTTACCTAGGATTCTCTGACTCGGTGTGTGGCTAGAACCACAATTCACATTTTTAAAAATAAATATAGACAAAGACGTATGTCGTACTTTAGCTTTTCTATTTATGAATTGATATACTTCCCCTTCCCTGGCGCCTGCTTGTTTCTAAACTCATATTTAAGCTGGTGGACGTGGGGAGAACTGACCTGCTTAGTGCTGCTGTTGTGGCCTGGCTTCTAGGAGTGCAAGTCAGCCTTAGTTCAGCTACCATTTGCCCTACAAGAAAAAGTTCACTGACCACCATTCACATACAGTCTCCAAGTGCCCCTGAGATGCCCAAAGTCTGACCCTTATGTTTCTAAGGAATAGGCTAAACCAGTGGTCGGCAAACTGCGGCTCGCGAGCCACATGCGGCTCTTTGGCCCCTTGAGTGTGGCTCTTCCACAAAATACCGGCTCTTCCACAAAATACCGGCTCTTCCACAAAATACCGACTTCTGCGCATGTGCCACGAAGTTTCAATTGCACTGTATGTGCGTGCCCGCCCACACGTGGTATTTTGTGGAAGAGCCACACTCAAAGGGCCAAAGAGCTGCATGTGGCTCACAAGCCGCGGTTTGCCAACCACGGTGCTAAAACAAACACAGCCAACGGATAATGGTTTTTCCCAAACTATTCTTTCTCTGGTGTTGAGAGACCTTTTTTTTTTTTTAAAGAATAGTTGATTGATTTTTAGAGAGAGAGAGAGAGGGATAGAGAGAAACATCAAGAGACTGCCTCCCACATGGCCCCTAACAATTAGTTATGTGCCCTTGACCGGCAATCAAACCAGCAACCTCTTGGTGCACAGGATGACGCTCAATCAACTGAGCCACAGCAGCCAGGGCAAGGCCATTCATTTTTAAAGCCTCCTAAAGGCCACACAGAATTAGCTCTAACACATCCAGAAACAAGTGCCAACACATCCCAAAGCCCCAACTTCCAGTCCTCACGAAGTTGGCTCTTAACTCACACAAACCCTGTTTCCTTCTACATGTTCAAGTCTGTGATCCACCTGGAATGTCAAAATTTGCATTTCTTTGTTTTACTCTCTGACTCTTCATTCTGGCATCCGCTTTGAGAAATTACCTCTATTAACACCAAGTGTGATTTAATCCTAACCGAGGATATTTTTTCCATTGATTTTTTAGAGAGTGGAAGGGAGAGGGAGAAACAGAAACACCATGAGAGACACACATTGGTTGGTTGCCTCCCACATGCCAGGACCAGGACGGGGAGCCTGCAACCCAGGTACATGCCCTTGACGGGAATCAAACCCAGGACCCTTCATTCTGCAGGCTGATGCTCTACCCACTGAGCCAAACCTGCAAGGGCAACACCAAGTGTGATTTAAATGAACTATTTAAGGTCTGGTAGACTCAACAAAACCTAAAATGGGCTCTCCAGTTTTCTATATGGAGCACATAGTTGGAAAACGGCAGTACTTAGAGGGAAAATGGTGTGCAGCAGGTCCTCGAATAACAATTTCAGACAGTGTTGTTCATGTTCGTTCAACATCGTTCTGTTCAATGTCATTCATTCAACGTTTTGTTATAATGTTGATATGCCATAGGGACTTAACTCTTGTTTGTATCAATTAGCTTATGGTAGAATTGGTTTCCTGTACATCATTTCGCTTCGTCACGGGAACTATCGGTGATGTTGAGAGTTTGCTGTACTTGCCTTGCAAATATGCTGAATTTAATCCTGCTGTTTCTCCCTTACAGGATGAAAACATAATGCGCTCCATGCAGCTCTTTGAAAATGTGATTTAACTTGTCAAATACATCCTCAGACAAATGTGAATGATCCTACCACACAAGTGGGAGCTGCCACTTTTAGCATAGACTGCTCAGCTTGACACTGAGGCATATTATGCAAACCAGCTTTGTTTTCATATGAAACAGTCCCCAAAAGATTTGAGTTCTCCACTTTTAAATTTGCATCCTTTTCATAAAGCAAATTTCATGGGATGGTCTAAGTCATTTCCCACCCTGTGGCTATTCAAAAGTAATAGAATCTGGCATATAGTTTTATCGATACTTTAGCCATGGGATTATTGAGGCTTTCACATTATCAGTGACTTAAAAATGTTTTCTGCTACTCATTTGTATGTACTCAACCCCAGGATTTTAAATGGTTTTCTAAAATGTTGGCATCTGCATTTAATTTCCAGAAATTAATTTTCGTGTTTGTGTGCTATAATTCCACTATATACTTAAGTGAACAAAACTACCAAGATTTAAGAAAGCAACAGTCACAGTTCCTATGGATTTGCTGCCTTCTGTTAAAGACATTCATTTATCTGGCGGTTTTCTAAATAATATGAAACAAATTAGTTGATCACCAGATGTCCACATATGCCTAATAGCTTATTTAATAAGCATTTCTTAATTTTTCATAAATACTTATCAAGCCAAGGCCTACATGATGTTTATAATTTTGGATTTGCTTAATTCAACAAGTTGATGTTTATTCTATTGTCACTAAGTGGAAGCCCAAGAAGGTGGAAGACAGTGAGGGTGTTTATAGGTATATGTGAAGGGTCAGACATCTGTCCTCCAGTCCCCGGTAATGCTAACGAGTAATTTTAATCGCACTGAAAGCCTATTGCATCTCCTCCCTGGACTCCCTCACGGCACCTTTATGTTACATGCCATCAGGGCAAAGAAACCTGACCACTCCAACGCGTGCTAGGAAGGACACAGCAAGCAGAAGTCACTTTGAAAGCACCAGTGATTCCATTATAGCCAGAACTCCAATTCCAAAATTTAGTTGAAAATGCATATCAAGTGCTAAGCAACTCATTTGGAAGGTGTTATGATTTAGCTTATCATACAACTCCAATAATTCAGATTCTTTTTCACACTCTCAAGCCAAAACTGTAAAAGTCGCCATAACATTACTAAAGATACACACACCTTCCCTGTTTTGCAGAAATATCACAAAGACCAAGAGGTTACTGTAGGAGGAAACTTGCAACTGTCTTTGCAACAATAAATCAGGTATCTATTCTGGTGTAGAGATAGGATGTGGAAAGCTGCCCTGCTATCACCAGTGTAGAATTAAGAGTAGTACAATACATGTACACTGAAACTCGCCATCGCGTATTTGTGTAAACTCAATGTGCACATTTTGTATTTCAAAAAGAGAAAATAAAGCAAATAAAATGTTTATAACTCTACTGTATCTTATAGGTCTTTATTCCAACAAATTTTAAAATTACTAGGTTAACAATATTTTTGCTTATGGCATTTTCCAGATTGTCGGTATCTTTAGCTTGGGTGGCGCTGAGTGCAATGTGGGAGAGTAAGACAGAGACCAGGGCAGGCAGGTGTTGTAGCTAATATTACCTGAGGATGTGACAAGTGCGACCTGAGGAAAGAGTGTACCAGGCAGGGACCCAGGAAGCACACAAGATCCGAAGGACGACGAGCACTTCTGCAACTATGATGCTTCAGAAATTATCTGCATTCTTTTCAATTACAGCTGGAGACTAGTTAAAGCGAGACTGCAAAGAGGTCACTCAGGTATTGGTTTCCTCTGATGCTTCTGGAATATGATATCGCTGCCCCTATATAAGAGTGACCCCTCATGTCCCCTCTTCGGAAATATCAGTCAGCTTGGATTTGGTGCAACGACTCGTTTCTATGGGCTCCCTTCTTGCCCTTGAGGGGGAAAGTCTTATTCTCGTTTTCTATTTCTCTTCTACTTCTTCCTCTCGTAGATGATCCAGAGTCAGCTTCTACTACATCAACACCCAGGACGCCGCCTGTAAATTTCAAAAGTCTTTTAAATTTAATAAATTCAACATAAGCAAGCACAACTAAATCTCTGACTACATAGACTGATCATTTTACTTTCTCAATCTCTTCATGTACTGAATTCAGACTATGAAATACAAAAATAACATTTACTTAAATACAATTGACACCTAAAGTTTAGGTAGTTTTAATGAGTTGTAATAAATAACATACTTATAAGAGAATTTACACATTTAAAAAAAAACCTTAAACTAGAATACTCTGGATATTTCGGAAGCATTCTACATTATAAAAGACATATTTACAAACAATAATTAATAGTGAATTCACAAAGGTCCACTATTTTAAATTTCTATGGCCTTAATATTAAATCCAGAAATGGCAAAATGTCTAGAAGTAAATATACAGCTACAAACTGCTTGCAAAAGGGCTGTTATAAACAAAAGGCACTAGAAAATAAATACAAACGCTTATACCATAAACCAGTGATGGCAAACCTATGACACGCATGTCAGAGGTGACACGCAAACTCATTTTTTTGGTTGATTTTTCTTTGTTAAATGGCATTTAAATATAATAAAATAAATATCAAAAATATAAGTCTTTGTTTTACTATGGTTGCAAATATCAAAAAATTTCTGTATGTGACACGGCACCAGAGTTAAGTTAGGGTTTTTCAAAATGCTGACACTCCGAGCTCAAAAGGTTCGCCATCACTGCCATAAACCCAATAATGGTTGTTGACACAAACCATAGAAATATGAAAAATAAACCCCATAAAACAGTCCTATTATAGAACCTTTTAAATTCCTTTCCATTATTAACCATTCTTTTTGTTGTGGAATAACTTACTATGATTCAGTGGAATTGTGCATATTCATCGGAAACTGGTAAATAATGAATGGTGGCTGTGATTTATAAAAGAATAGCCTGCAGTGAACTGAGAAGGTCCCACAGGTATCCACGGCCAGCATGTAACACCTGTCACCAGGCAGTAAGATTTCTCTCAGCTCCCTTCTTCAACAACATATGGAGCAATATGTTGGAATTTTAGCTTTGATGATGATAAGGCTTCCCTGTCAACAGAAAAAAAAAAGAAAAGCCCCGTTAATATCATGTAGGCTTCCCCTAATAGTATAATAGTATTACATTTCCAAAAGCATGTCTCAAAAAGTATCCAAAACTCAAATAAATGGAACGGGATAAGAATTGGATGATGAAATGAGAAGTGAAACCTTTTCTGAGTTAAATAAACTGTAGGTTATCTCTTACTGTTTTTTAAAAATATGTAACCATAGTAGTTAGGAATCAGACCACCAGCATGAATTCAGTCACTTCCTGTCAAATCCAGAGTAGTGGTATCTCTGTGCCTCAGATTCTAGATCTTTGGAGGGGGATAACAACCAAACCTTCTCCTGAGGGGTATAGTACAGATTAAATGAGTTTAATGTCTAAAAAGTACTCAATAAAATAAATACCTGCATGTAATGTTCCCACATATTCAATAAAGATAGGTGTGTGTGTGTGTGAAGTATCTACCTAAGACAAATGTGCGTTATCAACTAGAAAAAACACAAATCAAGCTCAGAATAAACCAAGCTCAATTTAAGGGGGGTTGTAAATGGATTAGTTATAAGAAAATGACCCCGTGACTGTAGCTGATATTTTTGTTTCCCCAGAAGTTGAGTCTTTCCATTATTGTGATATTGGCAGGCCCTAAGAAGTGAGAAACTACCACACTGAGAAAATTCTTTTTTTAAAGACTCAACTCTAAATATTTAAATAAAGAGAAAGAAAAATAAACCTTTACATTTTAGAAGGGAAAGAAGAGCATCCATTATTTTCATGAAGAACTAGGAAGTATCCAAAACAAGTACAACAGTCATCAAGCCAAGGGAAACACTCTGATATGTGATAATAGGCTATGTAATAATTGATGGAATTGTAAAAGGACATTGCAAATACATCAATTACTATTAAATTATATAAGATGTTATGACTTCAAAATCTTTGTTTATTCTGGATTACAACAATGAGACTGAGTAGCAAAAGAGTTACTCCCTTGCTAGCTATCTCTGAGACCCTGGATTGGTCAATTACACCCCAGGTGCTCCCCCTCCAAATCTTACTGTGCTATTTCTAAACTTTATGCACAGACTCTCCCCTCCTACGCAGGCACATCCTAACTTACTGGGCCTGCCCTTTGTACTTGCCCCTTCCCCACACCAGTCCACAGGATGTGTGAAAACCACCTGCACAGAGTTTCAGACTGAAAAGCTGTGCCATCATTAGTAAGCATCTGTTTATAAGAAATTCATTTCCCATTCCAGTTCTCAGAGCAGCAAACACATTTGCAAGCAATATGAATTTCTTTTCTGCTCAGGATGGACACAGGGTTGGCTAGGGGATGGTTTTGTGCATCACCAGAAGGGGTCTGAATGCTAATCCTCTGCCTGGGACCCACATACAACAAAGAAAGCCCTGGGAATTACTTCCTCCTCACAAACTTTATTTAAGGCATTCATCATGCAAAGAATATCTTCAATTTAAAAAGACACTGAAATTGGTCAAATTGAGTAATTTAGGCAAAGCTAAACTAAAACATCTGCTATTTTAAACTATATGGTCATACAAATTTCTTTATAATTAATTCCTTTTGAATGTACCTAGAATGAAACTAAGTTGTGCAATGTTAAGATAATCACATGCAACTCTATTCATTAAGCTCTGATTAAATATAAGCTCCAAATCAGGATGGGAACATTGCTTTATGGAAATATTTCCAAGATTAGATTATCTGAACATTTCTTTCAAAAGATGAAAACTCAACCTAGTTATTTGATACCACACAGATAATGAAATCCCCTACTTCTTTCCAGTTAAAATGATTAACTGAGTCAGCCCTGTGTGCTGCACACACACGTGCTCACGTTCCAGCAAGCATGCGCTTGCAGACATAATATCAAAGCCACCTGGAAATCTCATTTCAATCTTTGATTATGGGCAAATTATACATTTTTTAGACAGAAAAGATGGCAAATAAAAGGAAAAGTACTCTTTCTTCAATGGGCTCTC